AGGACATGAAAGCGTAAGCCACTGAGACGCTGCGGCTCTGAATAGACCCGGTCACCCATTTGGCGACGAAGTCCAGCGATAAAGAAGCATGTTGGAATAGAGTAGAGGATTATGCCCAGAGGAGGACAGATGGATAGTTAGAACTAACTTCAACGAAGGAAGTAAATGATCTTAGGCTTCTCAGTTTTCCTGATACGTTGCATATTCTATCTTAACTAGGAGAAAAGCATTAAAATCGATAGGTACTGCCTCAATTATTTACGCTTTGCACATGCTACAAAATGTATGGCTATGATGGAAAATATAATACATATTTCAGAAAGATGATCATAGAATCTATAATGAAATACTTATTTTTGATGTTGAGCCAGTCGAAAAACAAATAAAAAATAATAACAATTTGAAAGTTGCACGTGTACTGCTAATATAAGAATACCTATAAGGAATTAATATGCTCATCAAACTTGATGAATGCCTTTCCTCAGATAAGGTAACTTTTACCTATGCAAGCAAGCACTTATTAGATTAAGTAACATAAAATTCGGACTGCATAAATAACGGATTTGTTAATACAACGTTTCATTCATTGGGTGTAAGTGAATGGGTCTTTTCATTTCCAAGGATGGGACATTCTCTATAAGTAAACAGATTTTGTAAATATTTGTTGTATGAGTTTATTGAGTAACTTAGATATACGGAGGCGTAACAATATTGTTAGGAATTTTTTTTTAAATTTAATTTTTTTATTAATAATCTATCTATTTAATTCGGACAGCAAATACGGTTGAAATTAGGCTCTTTGATCAAACTTTTTTTTGAGAATTGCCCATTTGTTGCAGGTTCTATGGATTTAAGATAAGGATTATTTGATTTCTGCACTCATATTTGCTGTTAATGCCACCAATTTGCAGCGAGGTAGGAATAATTATTAAGTGGAGCGGAGATTTTTTGTTCCTGTATTTGAATGTAAGAAATCGTGAATGTTACGCGGAAAAGGAGTGCGTGAGAGGTAAAAATTCATAAAGGCATAAATGATTCTGTGTTTTATGTGCTTATAACCAACTATTCAAGCGAAAAATATAGATAATAACAATGTCAACTCAAAATAACTCTGCTCTAACAAACATGAAACAGTGACTATGCACTTAATTAATGATACTGATACAAGCAATGCAGCAACCCAGCAATGCCACAAACGACTGCTTGACAGAAAATATTAAAAATGACAGACATACAGTCATCAAAAAATTAAACTATCGGACCACTCTTCAAAATTCAGAGGAAGGAGAGAGGAAGTCTGCACAGAGATTCACCTGAATACACCGAAATAAACCGAAATATCTCAAAGATAATTAGACAAGACCTAAGAAGATACAAATCGAAAAAATAAAAGAGGTCATAGAAAACAACAAAAGCATGAAGATCCTTGAGCAGTCACAACGAAAGGGCAAAATAAGAATCCACCAAATGAAGGATAAGGATGGAAACATACAACACGAAAGAACAAAGGATCATAACAATCATCCAAGAGTACTAGAAAGAACTCTACTCAGCACCATACCACAACCAAGATGTCGAACAAAACATGAAGATAAAGAATGCAGGTTCTGAAGACATACCAGAAATCACCATCTGTGAGATAACACTTGCACCCTCATAGCTTAAATCTGGAAAAGCTCCTGGGGAGCACGGAATCACAACAGAAATGTTACAACTAGGAGGAGAAAATGCGCTAAAAGCAGTACAGTATCTCTTAAACAGATGCGTTGAGACAACTCAAATCCTCCAATTGTGGAACAACGCACAGGTCGTCATACCCCACAAAAGAGGTAATAAAAACTCAATAGGAAACTAGAGACCCAGCAGCTTGCTTCCACATCCATATAAACTTCTTGCAAAAATCATAACAAACAGGCTAACATCAAAAATTGACTCCTATCAGCCAGAGGAACAGGCAGGTTTCCAGAAGGGATATTCCACCACAGATCATTTTCAAACAATTCACACACTTATAGAAAAATGCACTGAATACAACGTCCCATTACATATGGCTTTTCTAGACTATAGCAAGGTCTCTGATTCCATAAACCTAAGCGCAATATTTAAAGCAATGGAAAACACACGGATTGGGGCCAAATCAAGCTTGGGAAAGAGAACCAAAAGGCTGAAATTACCAGAAGAGTGAGCATGACCTGGGCAGCATTTAGAAGGTTGCGCTTTATCCTGAGAAATCCAGATATTCCTATAAACATGAAAAGAAAAGTGCATGACATGTGCATACTCCCTGAACTGACGTACGGCCTGGAAGCCATTACACTAACCATAAAAAGTGCAAACTGAGAGTCACTCAAAGGGGCATAGAACGCGCAATGCTGATAGTCCCCAGTACATCGACCTAAAAATTTTGTAACTCATGTACACGCCAAACTTCCTGAGCGGCTTCATAACACCAAGTCGGAGAATTCTGATCATATCTGCAACCTGGGCCATGGGACATTGTCGCACTAGCTTTTCATGAAGTTGTCATGTCCCTGAGAACGGTGATACATGTACGTGTAGTTTTAATTCTAACCACTGTTTTTTATGTTATATTAACGATATCACATTTGTCGGACAAAAATTTCGTGGCATTGGGGGAGTCCGACGCCTCCAACAGCAACATGTTGGGGGTGTCGGACACCCCCAATGCCACGAGATTTTTGTCCGACAAATGTGATATCGTTAATATAATATAAAAAATAGTCGATGAAATTAAAACTACACGTACATGTATCACCGTTCTCAGGGACGTCAGAATGACAACTTCACGAAGAGCTAGCGCGACAATGTCCCATCGCCCAGGTTGCAGATATGATCAAAATTGTCCGACTTGGTGTTATGAAGCCGCTCAGGAAGTTTGGCGTGTACATGAGTTACAAAATTTTTAGGTCGATGTACTGGGGACTATAAACATTAGTCTGAGAAACAAGATAAACAACTACGACATACGTCGACTCACGGGTGTGAACGATGTGATCCAGTGCGTAGCAGAAGCAAAGTGGAGATGGGCAGGCCACGTGGCGAGGCAACCGAATAACAGATGGACAAAAATAGTCATGCAGTGGACTGTGGAGACCAAGAACACACAAACGCGGCAAAGGGGGACCCCAAAAGAGGTGGATGGATGACATTTACCGGAGGGCAGGGAGAGGAAGGCAACACATTGCACAAGACCGTCAATGATCAATCAGGCTCATTATTTCTTGTAATTTAATGTCAGACAGAAATTCCACCTGGCGCAAACTCTATTTTGGGATATATCTGAGTGCTTGTGAAGAGATGAAGAAGATCACTCAAAGTGAACTACAGAAAGACATACAATTTACGTATAGGAGGAGAAAAGACCCCTTTAACTGAAAATCGGCGAAATGATTTATTCCTAACTGAAAAAAGAGTAGCTAGACGCGATAAAACTGAAGACAAGAATAAGAAAACGGAAACTCGTCAAACAACTCAGACCTCTGTGGTCTAAGAACATCGTGGTAGAAGAAGTAGTGTGTATTGTGCCAGTGTCGATCTCGGTCTCGTGTGGTGTATGCAATAACATATCACAAAAGAGTAGACATGGTCTATGGCCTTGAAACTACGAGAGCAAAGGATCCTGACCAAAGTATACGGAAATTGTGTTTATGTCAGAATTGGCTGAATTTTGTATGTAATATAGATCACGCCTTTCTGATTAAAAGTAAAAGTTACCATTACACCCATCCTGAAAAATTACTATACGTAGGACAGTACTGCACCGCAAACTTACCTATTTGTGTTACATTGTATGTACCTACTTGAACAATAACTTATTATATAAAGTCAGATTTTTTAAGATTATCCACTTTTTGTCAATTTGCCTTTCAACAGGAATTGGTAATGTTACCTTACCAAACTAGTAACATAATGTGACAAGTTATTCAAGTACAAATGAGTGAATTGTTACGGAACTTATGGGTGGACCTCTGCGGGACGAGCGCAGCGAGTTCCGCAGACATCTATTTATCAATATGTTGTTTAATTACGATACTAAACTGACTCACTCAAATGTGCGTTATTCTTATTAGTTTAAAAATTACACGTTGCAGGTGAATGTCTTACTTGAACAGTTCAATAGTATATTGGTGATTAGATGGCTGCGGAACTCGCTGCGCTCGTCCCGCAGAAGTCCACCCATAAGTTCCGCAACAATCCACTTATTTGTACTTGAACAATAACTTATTATATAAAGTCAGAATTTGTAAGATTATCCACTTTTTGTCAATTTGCCTTTTAACAGGAATTAGTAATGTTACTTTACCAAACTAGTAATATATTGTGATAAGTTATTCAAGTACAAACGAGTGGATTGTTGCATAACTTATGGGAGGATCCAGCCATCTATTCACCAATATGTTGTTCAAATACAATACTAACCTGATTCACCCAGTTGCGAACTTTTCTCATTAGTTCAAAAACTACACGTTTTCAGGTGGGTGTCTTATTTGAACAGTTCCACAGTATATTGGTGAGTAGATGGTTGCGAAACTCGCTGCGCTCGTCCCGCAAAGGTCCACCCATAAACTCCGCAATAATCCACTTATTTGTATATACTTTCATTACAATGTCCAAGCGTTTTACTTGCTACCTATGAAATTAATGCTAAAAGGAATAATTTTTCAGGATTGGTGCAATGGTAACTTTCAATCAGGAAGGCGTGATCTACATTACATACAAAATTCAGCCAATTCTGACATAAACACAAGCTCCGTATACTTTCGGCAGGGTCCTTATTAAAGTTAGGGAATATGCTTGAAATATGTCTCTCACAAAACTTTATTTCAAAAAGTTGCACAATCGTTTCAATGAGTGAATATATAAGTAATTTTATGTAAAGTCCACATACCGTAAAGTTCTAATTTGCACAAGAAATGTGTTTTTATCAGAATCAATTTCCCTAATAAGAGTAAAAAGCCGTCTTGTTCAAGCTTACCTACCAAAATTAAACTACACCCTGTATAAAAAAAATTCTATAGAATCCGATACAAATGTTTATCAATTTCCGTTCCTTTCCAAAACAAAATTAAAAATTATTGCATCGAACAGCATTTTTGCATTGACACGATGTGACTTCTCGAAACTGACCCAATTAGTCAATTCATTGCCGCTTATTACGTTGCATTAGTTGTTAAATTGCATCTAATTAGTGTATGTACGAGTACAACTTAGAACCATGTATAGGGTAAGTCCTATGAATAGATTGGTGACCTAGTTTATCATGATGGCTCTCGAGTACCGGGTGCTTTCAATTCAATTTGCTTGATGAGAAATACTCGATTTTAATGAAGATATGGTTCTTGTTAAGAGTTTTTGCGGACTCAAAGTCCGGCAGAGTTTTGACATTATTGTTGTGTATGAATAGATAAAATTATAAAATATTTTTTTAGGTTCCTTTTATTCTATATCTTTGTGCACTTCCTTTAGTGACAATTTCTTTATCTTTGGAAAACAAAAGCGATGAAAGTGACGCTCCTGAATTAGACATTGCTTCAGACATTGCAGAAGAATCTTTAGTAAGTATTAATTTTTGCTTAAAGCACACCTTCAAAAACTTTGTCTTCCAGGAAATAGAAAAGATAAGTCCCGAAGACACACCCTGCACCTGTGGCGTGTTTCTAAGCAGTCAATTTAAAAAGGGCTCAAAAGACCAACCAAAGGGGAATCCAGTGTTAACAGAGGAAATTGACACCCCTTTTATGAATAACGCCTTCGGAAATAAACAGTGTACGACCAAGTGTCTCGAGCTGGTAAGTTATTTATCTTATAATTTTTTTTTTGAGAACTACTAATTTGTAAATATGTGCAACAAGAAAAAACGAACTTCTTTCATTAATCTTATGAGCCACATGTGTGTCCTCATTTTCCTTCCCCTTTTAAAACTCATCCCATCTGATTAGAGGTATGCAAAAGGGACCCTTTTCATCCCCTTTTCAAAAGTCTCCCACGCCACCAATAAAATAAAATCACGACCGCACACCTGACCAACAAGACAATAAACGTTTAGCTGCCCAATAGAGCAGGATGGGTTATAGTGAAGGGTGGTCATGGAACAATTTTACTTCCCTTATTAACGAATTTCATTACACCCTCCATTGACCTACACCCATTTACCCGACCGGACGTTGGGCATTATTTTATAAACATTCCCACAGATTGCATTTAGAGGGGGAATTGGTTAAGGGTGAACTTTTAATTAGTTTATTATGTAAAAAAGCTTTTTACTGTTGTCATATGATTGGTATTGAAGCAACAAATACTGTCAAAAGAATAGTACACGTTTATAAAAATCAACTTTGAGGCAATAAACTATGATAAAAGTTTTTTATAGTGTACGTTAAAGTGTACTTCAAAAAAAAAAAACGTAAATCAAAGATGGCTATGACTTTCCGCTCTTTTTTCTATCGAAAACAGAATTTTCTTAAGCAAAAGTCTTAAAGAAAAAATAATGACAAAAATGTGTCACTGTAGCATTTATTTATAGAACCCGACACGACGTTCGTTTTTCCAATCAAATCACTCTTTGGTTTAATTTTTTTTTAAGACCCGGTATATTATATATTGAGGGAAGTGGATCTGGTAATCCCGACTAACCATTTGTTCACGTGGTTCACTTCTAAATCTGCCCTAAATTCGGGGATTCAACAAGTTTACATTCCAAACAGTATTGTATTGTGGAAAGAAAGGCTTAACTAAGGCATCACAAATTTCATTGCCAGAATGTACTAGGTATTTTATTCCGTTGTGACTAAAAGATCCACTTCCACGAACTTAACTATCTATCAATCTATTCAGCCTCCTTCAGTCCATCTTTAGACGTAGGCCTCTCCCAGTCTTCTCCATTCCTCTCTGTCTCTTGCCATGTTCATCCACCTGGTTCCAGCGTGCTTCTTCAGGTCATCAGCATACCTCATCTGGGGTCTTCCTCTACTTCTTTTATTCTCTCAAGGTCTCTAGCTTAAAATATATTCATTCCGTCGGTCGTCTTTCTGTCTGATATTGTGACCTGCGAATTTCCATTTTAATTTTGATACCTCCTTTCCAACGTCTCTTACTCTCATTTTATTTCTTATTCACTCGTTCCTCTTTTTATCTGTCAGTTTCACATGTAACATTTGTCTTTCCATTGATCTTTGCGCTTTTGTTATTTTATCCATGTTTGACTTTGTAAGTGTCCATGTTTGAGATCCATAGGTGAGGACAGAAAGTATACATTGATTATACCCTTTGGTTTTGAGGTATTGTGGATATTTTCTTTTTTTCAAGATGTAGCTTAATTTGCCGAATGCTGCCCAAGCCTAACTCGTCTCTTGATTTCTGCTGTTTGGTTTTCTTTGTTGAGTTTGATAATCTGTCCTAGATATATATATTCGTGGACTTGTTCTATTTTTTCTTGTCCTATTCTGATTGTGATGTCATCGTCTGTGTTCGTTACTGTTTTAGTTTTAGCGTAGTTCATATTGAGACCTATGTTTTTAGTTGCTATGTCAAGTTCTTCCAGCATTTCCGTCAGTTCTTCTTTTCTATTAGGGCGATATCATCCGCGTTTCTTAAGTTGCTCAAGTGTTGTCCGCATATTTTTAAACCTTTTTTTTCCCAACCTAGTTTTTTTAAAACATCTTCCAGGGCCTGATTGAAAAGTTTAGGTGATATTGTGTCACCCTGTCTGACACCTCTTCTTATGGATATTGGTTTTGTTCCCTCATGAATTTTAACAGTTGTTGTTGCTTTGCTATATATGTTGGTTATTAGGTATGTATATCTGTAGTCTATTCTGCTATTAATTAATGAGCTCTTTACTGCCCAGTGTTCCACACTATCAAAAGCCTTTTCAAAGTGGATAAATGCAATATATAGTGGGATGTGATATTCGTTGGCTCGTTCTATTAGGATTTTCATGGTTAATAGGTAATCACTTGTACTGAAACCCTTTCTGAAGCTGGCCTGCTCTTTCGATTTGTAACCATCGAATTTTATTGTTAGTCTAGTGGTGAGAATTTTTGTGAAAAGCCTATAAATTACATTAAGAAGTGTTATAGGTCGATAGTTTTTCAAGTCTGTTCTATCACCTTTCTTATGAAGGATGATGGTTATGGATCAATTCCAGTTGTTTGGGATTTTCTTATCTTTCAGTATTTTATTTAGGAGGGTATGGAGAGTATTGATAACCGTTTTTCCACCGTATTTTAGCATTTCTGTCGTGACTCCGTCTTTTCCAGGTGCTTTGCTGTTTTTCATTTCCTTCAGAGCCCTCTTTATTTCCGATTTGCTTATTTCGGGTTGAAGTTCTGAGTTTACATTCTTTATTTTAGTTTGTAGTTGCTTTACGATTTTTTCCGGTGGTTCCTTTTTTGTTTGATATAGTTCTGTATAAAAGAGTTGTGTAATATGTATGATATCCTCCCTAATATTAGTTTCTACGCCGTTCTTGTCTTTTATTTTATTTATTTCATATCTTCCTAGTGTCGGTCTTAAGCATTTCATATTCCTGTTATTCTCTATGACTCTTTCTATTTCTATTTCTTGATTCTTCTTACTTTTGTTTTCTTTTATCATTTTCCTGATGATCTTATTGATTTCTGTGTATTCTATCGAACTCAACTACTTGAAATAAAAGTTTGAAGTTTTTTAGGATGTATGTTTTTGAAACTTTCAATTTCACTTGTTCTTGAAATTATTTTGTCATACGATTCTGTGAGCTCTTTCTTTAGAACAATTCTCATTTTCAGCATCTACTCAATTATTCCGGCACTGTTCCATTCCTCTACGTCTTCCGCCTGTAGGAATATGTGCGCTGGTACTGATAATACTATAATCAATTTTTCAATATAAATTCAAAACTTTACTTTGGTGTCTTCATCTTTGTTCCGTTCAATATTTATGGTTGTTTCCTTTGTTCCAATAATTTTGGTGGCACTTCTAAAGTCATTACAGATCGGACCATTTGGTATTGATCTTGGATGTTGCCACGTTATTTTCAGCTTATTTTTTGACGACAGATAGTGTTTCTGATAACGAGATCGTGCTCTAAGCATTTCGTCAGTAGAAGGATTCCATTTCAATTACTATGACTTCCTTGAGAATTGTACCTCTCTAGAGGGCGTAGTCTCTGCCGACTTGGACGAAGTTCCCTATAGAAATCAATTCGCTAATCGATGTAGGTTTGTTAAGATTCTATCTAGCTATAGGGTTATAGAATTTTTCTTTTTTTCATTGTTGGAATATAAAGTTCGAGATTATGCCTTGATTTTAGTGGCTCTTTGTTTGTCAATGAGCTTGATGCTCCATGGTTTATCGTTGCTTCGTCCTCAATGCCCATATTTCTTCTTCGGAATACGATATCTTAGCTCTTCTGTCCATTAATCTTTCAGTTAATGAAGCATTGGTAGATAAATTCACTTGCTAAGTGAAGTTCTTGCTGACAGTGGTTCTGCTCTGAACTATGGCACAACGTAGAAGGCAATATTTTGGTCTGGTGATTTTGGAATCTTGTATGTGTAGATGGAGTAATTATAGGTACGGTTTGAAAACCGACGCTTGGGGTACCTCTGTTGTCTTCTTTCCCTTCAGCTTTGCCGGCCTAATTTGACTGTGAGAAGTGATTCCTGGCAAGTCGCTGCGTTATCAGTTCTCGTCGTCTGATCCTCATGATTATCATAATCGTCTGGATGTTCATTTGGGTGACCTTTCTGTTCCGCTCTAAAGTATGTGCGAAGGCTTCAGCTTTGTGTTAACCAAGATTAAATTAGATTAGATTGTGTTAGGGGCGTTTAGGTGATGGACCTCTCTGCAATGCGACCTGAGTAGATCTATTGTACTTCCCCTTTTTTCTAATAGGTTTCCAGGTTGAGACTTTTCGCGATTCTCACGATTTTCCCGGGATTAGTTCGTTCAACATCCGCAGCAGTCAAATGTATCTGCTCCAGATGGATGAGTCTTCTGTGACATAATGCTTCGCATTTGCAGAGTATATGTTCAGCAGATTCGGATGCTTCTTTACAGAAGCATCCGATGATTTCTCCATCTTTTTCAGGTGGTAGCCAAGAGGGCAGTGGCCGGTGAGGAGACCCGTTATGAGCCTCAAGTCTGGTTTGCTGAAATCGAGTAGTTCATTTGCCTTTGTTGACTTTGGCGAGATGAATTGCTTCGCCTGTCTAAGTCCTGGAGTATTGTTCCAATGGGAGGGCTGTTGTGCCTCTACCCATTTTTTGAGTTCGGTCCTTACATGGCTTTTTGTCAGGCCAAAGTAGGGTTTTGGACCGAGGAATGGTGATGCGGCGCCTTCTCTTGCAAGCCGGTCTGCTATTTCATTTCCTTCTATGTTTTGGAGCCATGGTACCCATGCTAGAGTGACTCTATTGCAGATCGCCAGTTGCTTTAGAAGTTGCTGACAGTCCCAGACTAGTCTGGATTTAGTGACAAAGCTGTTAAGAGCCTTAAGTGCACCCTGAGTGTCAGAATTGATGAAGATTCTTGCACCTCGTAGGTCCATTTCAAAACACTTTCTGGCGCAGAGTTCTATTGCGTACGTTTCCGCTTGGAATATGGTGAGGTTTTTTCCTAAGGCTACCGATAGCCTGCAGTTTGGGCCATATACGCCCACTCCGACCCCTTCTTCTGTTTTCGATCCATCTGTGTACCAGATGGATGAACCGTTTGGGAATTTATGTACGATCTTGTCACTTTTGCGGCCTTCTGCGGTCACACTAAAAAAGTGATTAAATTCGTATCTGGGCGGCATGATGTCCATCGGGTTTGTTGGTAAACCACGGCATTCTGTAATGATGCTCATATGTCCAACAAGGTCCCCTTCCTTTAGGTTTAGAAACCGTATAACCCTTGAGGCCCCCATGTAGGCCTCCCTCTTCACTGCAATGTGCAAAGGGATGATATCTAACATGACCTCTATAGCAGCGGTTGGACAGGTGTTGTGGCACCTTTTATTCCAAGACATGCATACCTTTGTACAACTGCGAATCGGTTTTGCCCTGTCTGCTGCTTCACTTTTGGCCACCACACCAATGCAGCATATGTGACCAGCAGGGGTCTTATAATCCTCGTATATAACCAATAGATCATTTTTGGCTTTAGGCCCCATGTTTTACTGAATAGTCTTCGGCATGTCCAGTACGCTACTGTTGCTCGATCGGTCATTCTTTTCAAATGTGAGTTCCAGGTGAGCTTTTGATCTAGGACAATGCCCAGATATTTGACTTCACTTGAAAGGCTTATTTGTATTCCATCCAGTATTGGAGTTATTAAGTTGAGCTTCCTTTTCCTTGTGAATGGTACAATTATTGTCTTGCTAGAATTCACCATTAGACCCTCTTGCAAGCACCAACTTTTGATGATGTTGAGGGCATTCTGCATGAGTTCACTAATGATCCTATCCTGCTTGCCTCTAATGATGAGTGCAAGGTCATCAGCATATCCTAGGACCACAAATCCATGGTCACTTAGTATGTTTAGAAGTTCATCTATTACTATTATCCGTTCACAATCTGATGTCCACTGGTACCGGTAAAATGTATCACCTTTCAGTGCTATTTGATAGGGAAAGGTGATAAATGTACCTGCACCTGTGGACATCGGATTGTGAACAGGATATATGGACCATAGCAGTGGGGATAATACACCTCCTGGGGGGACCCCTTGACTGCTAGGACCGTCGCTTCCAAGAGTTGCTTTGATTTTCCTATCCTGTAGCATGATTTCAATCCATGTGATTGTAGTGTCCTCAAAGCCTTTGTTTTTTGCCGCCTTTCTTATGGATTCATAAGAGGTGTTATCAAATGCACCCTCTATATCAATGAATGCACAGAGAGCGGTTTCTTGGTTGGAGTGTGCCTTTTTAATCCTATTGACAAGGTTGTGTAGGGCTGTCTCCGTTGATTTGCCTGCTTGATAGGCATATTGGTTTTTGTGTAGCGATTTATCGGTTACGAATTCTCTTCTTATGTGTAAATCAATGATTTTCTCCATGGTTTTGAGGAGAAACGAGGTTAGGCTGATGGGTCTCAACGATTTAGGCTGTGCTGCGGGACGTTTCCCAGCCTTTGGAATAAAGACCACATTCACTTCCCGCCAGCTGGTGGGAATGTAACCTAGTAGGTAGCTAGCTTTGAATACCATTGCTAGTTGAGTTCTTCCAAGCCTTGTTGTGTTAACCAAACTATACCATCCCGTTTAAGTTATCCGTTCTTACATACGATGTCGCTTAGCCATCCTGAGATTCGAGATGCTTCCATCGCTTGTCTGTTTCCATTCTGAAGCCAGAATTTGTTATTTCTGCACCCATGCGTGATTTACGTGCTCGTGAAACTTGATCAGTCTATAATTTGCATCTTGTCTGCCCTCTATTTGAATAATGATTATATTAATAATTGTTCTGCTGTGTGACTGGAGTACAGTAGCTATAGTCCAAGAGCCCAGACCCGCCAGACACAACTTATTTTCTAAAGGACAGAATATGTGGGATTGAGTAGCGCTTATAGGTACTATAAACGTAAATATACAGTTGACATAGATATCTCGCTCACTCTCAAACGCATGCATAGTACCCTCGCGCTCACACTCCCGGAAAAATTATTATTGCGTCTGGGGGGATGTTTGGTCGGTGCAATTAGTCTGGCTGAGCATATGTAATTATGAAAAAGTCTCCCCAATAACATATTTAAAAATCAAGCGTTTGAGAAAAAGTCAAAGTTTTTCTCAGCTTTCGCACCTGGTGTCGGTAAATTGGCCGTCTACCCAACTTAGCGGGTATACATACCTTCATAGTATATATAAGTGCTACACAATCCCACATGTTCTATCCTTTAGAAAATAAGTTGTGTCTGGCGGCTCTGGGCTCTTGGACTACTAGTTCCTGTAAATCGTCTTCTATACTCCAGTTATGAGTACCACATTATCAGCTTAGCAAACTAGCATTCGTTGAACATTAGATGTTTCTTCTATGTCTTCTTCTCTCCGAACTTTTCGAAACATGTTTTCCACTCGTCTACAGTGATTTTATTGGTCTGTGTATAGGTAGTAGGCTTGATTTCTAATTCCTTTCTTATAAGTAGTCTCCATATTTTTCTCTGGTATCCGTATAAATAGATATTTTTTTCCATCTCTTTTGTAGATCTTTTCCAGTATCAATATTTCCGTCTCATCAATTCTCCCATTTACTCTATTGATTTCTCTTTTATACAGGGTCCCAACTATTTCATAGGGACAGCATTGATATCTCGGCAACGGCTAAAGTTACGAGGGCGTTTAAATTAGAAAAAAGTTGCCATTTTTGAAAAATATTAAAAATACATTTTTGTTGTTGCCAAACTTCTATTAGTTTCGCAAATATTTAGATTTATGAAGTTTAGCTAAAACAATTTTGTTTATTATTTTAAAATCTATTGATTTTAGAGACATAGTTTAAATTCAAAAGTATTATATTTTTTCCGCCCTACAACATGGTAGGTACCTATACTTAATTTTTTTTCTCTACTAATTTAAGCGCCCTCGTAACTTTAACCATTCCCGAGATAGCAATACTGTCCCTATAAAATAGTTAGGACCCTGTATAGTATCCAGTTTTCCTTGTTAATGTTTGCTAGATACTTAGTGGGTGCTCTTCCTGTGTTAATATACTTTCTGCAGTACTTCCACGAGTTCTTTATGGAGATCCGTCTTTTTCCCAACGCTTCATCTACTGCATTGAGAATGTTATTTTTTAGTGTCCTCCATTGCATTTCTTTTTTCCACTCTTCCAATGTATGACGTAACATAATTTCGCTTGATGAGTGATGACACGACATTTTGTGTGTTATCCCGAGTTAGTCTCCAATCCATCGTAAAAACATACCATTAAGTTACACTGTCATTATCTCCTAAATGCACTACTCTTGATTGGAATAAGCTGATGAAAATAAATGCATAATTCTTTTTTTAAATCTATGCACGATCTCTCGATTTTAGTGTATTTGTTTTAGTATGAGGGTGTAGGCTTGTGTACGTCCTTTTCTAATTTTGCTACATGTGTACTGCTTTGTCTGTTTTATGCCGAGTTTTATCTCTCTATTCATTGTTATCACTTTATTCTATTGTTTTTTATCTTTTTTTTATTATTTTATTATTGCTTCCTATCAAATTTCAGGAAATGTTTCCTATGTCAATGCTTTCAGTTTCATCATATCTTCTGTTATTCTGTCTTGATATTTTTCTCACTGATGTATTAAGTATCATTTATGAGTCCTCTGATTTCTCATTTTTTGATCCCTAAAATATCATGTCATTCTCTTCCAAAACTTGTTTCAGAAACCGAATAAATGAAAATTAATGAAAAACACGAAATTTCCAACTCAAATATTATGCGTAGTATTGCGTGTGCAACACTAGATATAAGTACCCCTTTAAAGGATGTTTTGTATTTCAACGAATAACACAGTCAGCATAGAAATTTCCATAATAAAATCACGACAAAAGCGGGGGCCCAGCTCCACCTGACCAGCCGACCAAATTACCGAGGGTGTACCATAGTAATTTGCCCCCATAACGCATTTCATTATCCACCCTGCTGACCGTCAACAATTACCGGACGGACGTTGGATAGAATACCCGAAGGGGGACAAAGCGCTTTCTCACCGAACCGGGGTTCTTCAATTTGTTTATTCATGAAGGGTGCTAAATAACCCTTTTTTTACGTACTGACTACCTGCTCTGATTATGATTTGGTTTTTTTGCTTGTCTTTGAAGTTCCTTTGGATGTGTTTGGGAGGGGTTCCTTCAGGGAATATTAATATTTTTAGGAGAAATCATGTTCACAGACAATGGCCTCCAAGTTAAAATTTTTGTATCTCTATTCTTTATATCCAATGGAAGCTGAGTTTAAAGACAAAATACCATATTTTATTTGGAGTATACCTATACCTTACTTTAGTCTACTCTACTTAGGGCCAAATTATGGACCAACTGGTAAGTGTCTGGTTGTTACCTACAGACGTTTACCAGTCAGTCCATAATTTGTCCCCTATTGACAAACGCTTGGCAGTGTAAAATACATTTTGTGTTTCTTATCAATCGATTTTTCTGAGAATGCATCTGCAAGAGCTGGTTGCAAAACTCCCCCCTAAAAAGCAAAAGTGATAGAAATAATTATTGTAAGACTTTCAAATCTTGGTTAATTTATTTTTATCACTTACTTCTCTAGGTAAAGGGAGGTGAGTAACAACTGACCTCCCTAGGAAAGTGTGATTGTTGTATTTAGCTACATGTAGCATGTATATAAAAATTAAAACGGCATTGCAACATCATACATTGAAACGCATTTCAAAATTTCAGCCCTATTTTGAGGCCATTACAAAACATAAATAAAAGATAATTATTTCTTTCAGATTATCAAACATTTGCCAAAAAGCAGCGACATAATCTGTGGAAGCGTAGACAGGGATGAAGTGCGCCGAGAGAAAGCCTTCCTTTTCGTCAAAAATCACAGTGACAAATGGCACCCTACAAGTTTCTCCGCTGGCAGAGAATTTTGCTGCAAAGATTACGCACCAGTGAAATGTTCTGAATGGCCAAAATAACTTGAAAATTTATAAAACATGACAAATTCAGGCGGTGTTTTATTTCTGGCCAATTATGAAGATGTTAATTTCGAAACATCGAGCCTATATAGCCTCAGGCAACGAAATCGTATCTCGTACCTCGCAAATCTGGTACAGCTCGAAGTGAATAACGATCTTTTTAATACGCTGAACCAGATAACACGATAAGGTACGACGTGTGAAGACTTCCGTTCCCACCAAATTGATGCATATATGCATTTTCAGGTGGTTTATGTTTGTTTTGTATTTTTTACGATGTAAAGCCAAAAATATCGTTTTTTTTTTGTTAAAATCTTTGGAATTTTCTTGGTCCTCTTAATTACCATTAAAGGTCGCTTTTCTTGCGTGTAGATAAAATGACAGGGTTCTTTTGGAGGTGTTCCTTGGTAATTTTTTCATCAGTTTTGATATACTTGACCCTTATCATCTGTTGAACACAAAGAATCTAAAGCAGCCTCGTTTTCCTATTGTTTTTAGAAAAATTTGTCAATTTTCAATAATTATTAATACATGGTTTTCGTGATATCAGGCACATATGACAAGTAGGTAGGTATACCAAATACGCCTCTATATGTATAGTGATTCCCAAAGAAACTAACTCCATCACTTTCAAAAGTGGCAGGTGCCTTGAATATTCCAAATGACATGATGTTGAATTAATATAGTCCGTTTCCGCAAATTCCAACAAATCTTCTCATTCTTTTCTGAGTTCCATCTGCCAGATATCCACTCTTCAGATCTAAAGTTGATGATAGGCAGCTGTCTTTCTTTGTAACATCGTTCAGCCTTCCATAGTCCACACAGAACCTCGTAAAATCAACCTTCACGAAAACTAAATGGTGCGACCTGCGATGAATGTATCTACTATTAGATTCTTCTATGATATCATTCTTAAGCATTTCTTGTAGCATGGTGTTAACTTGATGTCTTCGCGAAAAGATGTCTTCGTGGTGATTTATATGCTCTTTAATTATAATGCATAAATTATAGAGCCCTCGATTCTTCTCTTCTCATGTAGTGTGTCTCCCTTGTAGTGACGAGAAAATTATGTGCGTTTCTCTGTACTTATCTCCTTTGTACAATCCGGAGGCGGCTGGTCCTTCATACATAGGCTCTGATTATGTGAAGATGCTTGGTGAGGAGGCCGGTATCCATTCAAGGTGTCACCACAGGTCTAGCGCTCCTGCGATTCAGATTTAGGATGCCTCCAGTCAGTTTCCTGGGTATTCAGTTTTGTTTTTTCGGTTTCATGGCACTTTGTCCCAACGTTGTAGGTGCCTTATTCATGTCCACTCTATCACAATCGGGTTTGTAGATAAGTTAGTCTAGTTTTCCCAACTTAAATTTTACTCAAGACAACACAAAAAGCAGCAGGACAAAACTAGCACCACTTTAACACTTTGCATAAATTAAATTAGTCTAAACTAGAACTGATCGCCTTACTATATATCCAATTCAAAAACTATTCGCAACTACTCGCATTATTGTCACGAGCTGCTTGTATACTATTCTAAGTTTTCTCTAACTATTTCGTTAATTCTCTGTACTATCTCGATCGATGATTCAACGGCTGGACTATTCCTTCAAGGCCAAACTCTCCGAATACTCGTCAGACGTCAATCATCAAACACGAAAAACGGGCTAAACTTTGTCCGTGCATATTAATGCGACGAATTGTTCCATTCAAAATTAGAATATTCTAAATATATATATTTATGAACTTCTTATTAAACACTAAGAAGAAAACTTCAAGGACTTCCGTAATAATGGCATAGGTACTCAGATATTTTTAGAAAATATATGTTTTCTGGATGGCTGGATAAGGCACAAGGAATTTATTTTAAATGCACTAAACGTAAATCTTTAAAGCTGTTTCAGTATCCATAAACTTCTAGTTTACCTCATAAAATAACTCTCTATTGGAAATTGCCATATTACAAAATAATATACGTGACTTAGCTTCCGGAAAACTTCATACCTACTTGTAAATGTAGGAAACCTAACAATGTGAAAAGACATGGTGAGTGGAAGTCTTCAACTGGATGGTTTTTGACGGGTTGGAGCAAAAATATTGTCAGCATGTTGGGCGAAAATTCACTCTAGCAATTTTACTAATAATTGTTCTGTCAGTAGCTTTGGCTGATAGCAACACTGAAACAGCTTCGCAACACTGCAACAGCTGATCGGTGTAACGTGATCCAATTGATCAATCTCATCCTCATCTGTAAGTTCATTTAGATAATCTTTCTACTCTAAACTATCTGCGAAAGCTTAAGCTTTTACTTTATATCAGAGAATACCTAGGCAAATCCATTAAAACTGTGAAATAGTCGAATGATGGTTTTCTTCTCACAGATACTTCTGCTTTTTAGAAATTTTCCTTAAATTTCTTCTCTAAATTTCGGAATATTCCCGGCTCTCGAACTGTTCCTCCTAAATATCTCTACATAAAGAAAATTCAAGAGCCTGGAATAGAACCAACATAAGATACTTAAGTCTACTTATCTACTTCATTTTCCCTTAATGTCAGCCTTTCAACTCTCAAATTTTTGTCTATTTCCGGCTCTTCAAGAACTTCTTAATACATATAAGAGCCGGTTTATTCACTTTCTAATAAACTGTCAGGTAATGCAATCTGACGGGTAAAAACGCAATATGTAATCCCATTGGTCAGCCAATTATCCAGTGACGAACAGGATTATATGGATCTGTAAATTTATCTTGCAGTATAGTTACCAGCAAGTTTATCTCAAGATGAATAAACCGGGCCTAAGATAGAGAACATTGGATGTTAGCGAATACAATTTTAGTACAAAAACAGATCTGCGAAAAAGTCGTCTGATCCAGATCCATTCAAGCATTTAAAATGCTGGAGGATGTTTTCCAGCAGGTCTTTTTTCCTATTCCAACAAACATCCCAAGCAGCAAGGGGAAGTCGTAAAGTCGTTATGACGTCGATTTTAAATAGATTTACGTTGATTAACCAAAATTCGACGTCGGAAATACGTTGTTTGAGACGTCACGCAGTGGACGTTTATTTGACCATGACAATAACCAACAGCGTTCAAAAGTTACCATGTAAAACCCAATGTGATCCATTTAGAAAAAAACACTGTATATCTGCATAGTAATACCAGTACATATCATCTGATGCATAATAAGTATGCGGTGGGTACCTACATAAACAAATGATAATTGTTTTGCACTAAGTAGTTTTGGCAATTTTTGCCACTCGAATAATGATCATTCTCAAAAGGTTTTTCATCACATTTTCGAAACAATCTGAAATTTACTGTATTCCTTTTATAGATCGAGTTACACCAAACGAGCTTCTCGGAGTCACTCCAAAACACACATTTCAGATTTTATCATTATTTTTTAATATTAACATTATCGTCATCACCTAAAAGGGCTTCTTGCATCCCCGCAAATTTGGTGCATCAGGGGAAAGGGGGATGCACTATGAGCGACTCGAATGCTTAACGCACTTTTAAAAGGAACGTTCAAGCTTGTGACATTGAGAAGCTCCGAGTAACTCAACGAGTAAAAGGAATACAGTATGGTGTTTTGTGCATTCCAGCAAGTAAAGATGGAAGGATTTGTTTATCTCAATATTATACCTAATTATTGATGAATCATCACCATAGAATAAGAATCATCACTGAAGTAAGAAAAAAAGGGACCAGGGTAATGTAAAAAAGCTATATTGTACCTTTCTTTTCTTATCTATTTTATATTCGTCATTCGGCAGTAGACTATTGTGGAGGAATAAGCAATAAAAAAAATAATAATTACCTAAGCTATGATCCTAACTGCCCTTCAAATCAGAATATTGGTAAGCTACTTCTAGTTTAGCATGTTTGGTATTAGACTTTAAGCATTTGGCTGTGGATGTTTTCAATAACTTCCTCTTAGCAATTGAAGTTGCGTTTCACTGATAACCCAGGGCAACAAATTATGGTTTGATTATTTCTTTTTGGTAAATGGTGTCCCCCGGGGAAGCCGTTCGCCATAATAGGTTAATATCTCATTTGTTACACGATTATACTATTAAAGGTAAGTGTAGCAGTGGGGCACTACCGAATACCGGCGAGAAATGGTTGAATTATGATTTGCTGCTGGGTGTCAGCTGCACAACGTGGTTTCAAATGAATTCAGCCTAATGGGGCTTTAATAGAATAGCTGAATGCTCTTCAACTCAACAACAAACAAAATTGTTTTTGTGTTTTCCAGATAAAGAGTCAAGTGATCATGTTCTATATTGTAGCTGAAATGAAATGGTTGCGCCTCTAAAGAGGAATAAAAAACCTTTCAAAGGAGGTATCACACGAGGTAGTTTCTCGTTTTAGAAAAAACATTAGGGAGGCAAGCCTCCAAGACAGGGGGGATAGGGGTTAGGCAATAAACACATTTGGTTTCTCCGATGTGTATTTGACACTTTTATGACAGAATTGTTTTTTCTAAGAGCTAGGTAGTCAAAATTACTATGTAGTATTAAAAATATGCCTATTTCTAAACACCGATATGTCAAAAACTAATCGTACGATTTAAGATTTTGCTATGAGACAGTAAAAGAAAAGCAACGAGCTATCCAACTATGTGCAACACAAGGTAGGTTCGTATTTGAGAAAAATAAGTTAGGGTAGCTTCCCCCTTACAGGTGAAGCGGGTGAATCAAAAAGAGCCTCATTTTGGTTCCCCCTCCAATCCCCCGATACTTATTTGAGATCGTCCTGATAGTATTTTTTGTCTAAGAGATATTCCCGATTGCTTTTCAAATTGTCACCCTGTATAATCCATCGCTTCATCTTCACTTTCACTTGAAAGAAATCATTTCTTTTCGGAGAGGAGAAAATATGAAAAATATCGAGCAGAAACGGAAAAAATTACGAAATTCAGGCGATTAGTTTCTGAGTTTTGTTGGTGTTTCGTCATTACCTCAGTAACCGTCAAAGTTGGCTAACTTGAATTTGTGAATTTGTGGATGTTATTTATGTTAGTGGCACTGCCCGTCATTGTTCAGAATG